TCTTCCCTGTCTGTGGCTGAGCTTTCAGAGTCTGACTGCCCATAGGAAATGTGGCTTGGTTCCCCCCCCCCCAAGTTCCCTGTCCTTCCCTTCCCACATGGAATCCTGTGTAGAGAAAGAGGCAGGGGCTCTGAGCATCTCAGCCTTGCTGTCTACGTTGCTCGAGGTTTGGGAGCTGGCTAAGCTTGCTTTTGCAGTCATTCTGAGCCCTCTCTTGTCCTCCACTCTGCGATTGTGGGCTGAGGGGGGAAGAAGGGGGGGAAGGCAGGAGAGCATGAGAGAGAGAGAGAAAACGAACACAAGGGCACTGAGTGGGAGAAGCCACGTGGCCGCTTACCCTGTTCCTCCCCTCCAGCTACCTGCCCGGTCTACCAGACTGGAGAACACAGAGAGGCATGGTTTAGGTGCTGAGAATGAAGGAAAATTTCCCCCCATTTGTACGTGGCATGCCAGGGATGGAACCTGAATATTCCCCCCTCTTTCTCCTGTCCACTCTGCAGGGGGGGGTGTCCTCTGCAACCTGAGCTCCAGGTCCCAGTCACCCTCCCCTCGGTCCCCCATGCCCGGTGGGTACTTTCCCTACCGCGATTCAGGCGCCCTGCACCCGCTGCAGCCTAGACCGTCTCCCTTTCCGTTCCTGTGAGGGGTCTTTTGGGAGGCTGCCACCTAGCCGAGGCTGCCAGGGATCTCCCAGCATTGCTGGCTCTGCTGCTCTGTCTGCTGCCTTCTGCAGCCCAGTGAGCTTTGGTGCTGGCCTGCAGGCTTGCCCTGGCCCCAAGTGCCTTGTTGCTGCCAGACACGACCTCTTCCTCTAGGTTTGGAAGGGCCTTGTTCTCATTGTTGCTGCTGAGAAACTCCCAGCGCTGCCAGCCCTCCTCGTCTCCTTGCCGCATCCATTGCCACCCGTGATGAAGTTCTGGTGGGAACTTTCTCCAACGATGTCTGGGATCCGAGGGAGGCGATGACCTCTTCCAGTCCCAAAAATTCTCTGCCGCCAACCGTGGCTTGAGAAACTGTGTGTGTGGGTGTGTGTGTGGAGGAAGCCTTGCAAGTATGATTCTTAGCTCCTGCTCCCCCCCCTCCTTCTGTTCTGGATCTTTGTGCTCCCTGGAGCACCAATGAGACCTTCCTGCTTCTCCAGCAGGGCTGGTGAGACTGGGGAACTCCTGGGGGGATAGGCCCTCCCCAACTGGATTGATTTCAAAGAGACCGACTCTGGTCGATGGGGGAGGAGCTATCCCACAAGTGTTGACTGCCCCACTCCTTAGGACCACTGGAGAACCTCTGCTAGCACGCAGGCACACACACACACCTTCACCAGAGACTACATGTATGCTGCCCGTATGACAAAGGATCTACTTGCATAAAGGGATTAGCCAACTGACTCATCGGCCAGAGCGATCATCGAGCCATCAGCATTAACAGCCCTGACTATTGCTGCTACTGTCTTCTAAAGGTGTCACTGTTAGTAATAAAATAATCAATATTGCCCAACCATTAGCCCCACCATCCTCATGCAAATAGTTTTGTTTTGCCAAAGCATTTCCTAGGGACTAGGGACATGACAGGGGAAAGTGGCCAGTGTAGCCCACCCCCAAGTCCAGACAGTGTCTAAAAGAGCAGGATCAGCCATGCGCTCTCTCTCTCTCTTCTACCTCTAGACCTACCCTATCTCTACGACTTTAGTGCTGCCAGAGTCTACCACATGTTCTGCTGTTTCAGAATACGACCCATAGTCTCCCTTATTTTTCTGTGGATCACTTCGCCTCTTCAGGACAGGTACGTATTACCCCTCAATGATTCTCCTGCTAATGAGAATGTCACTATCCCTTTCTACCTACATTTCCTAGGTCTGAATAATTGTGTGTATGACTGTGTTTTCATTGTGTGCTTGTGAATATCCTTCAGTAAAGAATCCATTTCTTTACGAGTTGGCTTTTGCGTTCATTTGTGGGTTACTGGAAAAGGCAGGACTTCTGTATACATAGGCTATTGCTCCCTTAGAAGCCAATTGCATATTAATAATTATAATTCCCCACAGTTACTAATCCATCAGAGCAATTTGGCTAACAGGTAGGCTGAAGAGTATGTGATGCTTGGTCCTTCACATACCCTGGCCCTAAGTCATTAAGAGCCTTAAGAGGTTCCCCATTAACCAACAGCATCTTAGCATGCCTGAAAACAGATGGTTAACTAGTGTAGATCTTTCAGAACAGAAGTGATATGATAACTGTAACCAAATCCTGCCAATAGCTTGGTTGCCAATTTTTGGACCAACTGAAATTTCTGAACCATTTTCAAAGGCAGCCCCACATAGAGAGCATTACAGTAATTTAATTTGAATGTGATCAGAACATGGATCATTGTGGCCAGGTCACACTTTTTGAGGATCAGCCATGGCTGGTTAACCAGCCACAGCTGATAAAAGGCACTACCTGCCACAGAGGAAACCCTGAGCCTCAAACTATGAACCTGCTCCTTTGGAGGTAGCGCAACCCCGTTCCAGGATAGGCTGACCCTACAGTCCCCAAGCAGCTTCTCCATTGACCAACAACACCTCAATCTTGTCTGGACTGAGTTTATCGGCTTTCATCCATCTTGTTATCTTCTCCAGGCAACTCTTCAGAACTTCCACAGACCCACCTCTTAGCTGGGTGTCAATTGCATATTGGTGACACCTCACTTGAAATCCCCAAATGAACTTTCCCAGTTGTTGTAGATGTTAAACAGAATGGGGGACAAGACTGAGGGACCCCATCACATAAAAGCTGCAGGAATGAGTAGCAGTTCCTCAGCACCATCTTCTGGAATAAGTTGGTCAAGTAAGGAAGGTACCCCTTCCCAGCCCAGCCAGCCTTTTCAGAAGGATACCATGATTGACATTATCAAAAGCCAGTGAGAGGAGAATCAACAGATACCCTCCTGTCACTTTCCTGGAAAAAGTCAACCATTTTCATCTCAAAGCCAGGCCTGAATCCAGGTTGAAATGGGTCCACATAATCCATCTCCTCCATGACCACTCACTTGATCACCTTGCCCAAGAATGCATATTAACCATCATGTAGTAGTTGTTTAGGTCATTTGGATCCAGGGATGCCTTCTTCAGGATGACTCTTTCAAAGCCTTTCGTGCAAAGCCTATGCATTTATTAGCTCCTGGACACAGTCAAGTCTGCATATGGTGGGCCCTGACCTGGCTAGCCCAGGCAAACCCATCTTGGAAGCTAAGCGGGGTAGACCCTGGCAAGTAATTGGAAGGGAGACCTCTAAGGAATACCAGGTTTAGGGTTAGGCTCCAGATGCAGAGGCCACCTCTCTGAGGTTAAGCCACCTCTCTGAAATGTCCAAACCCCACTAGGGGTTGCCAGAAGTCACCATGACTTGCAGGCTTGCAAGCACATATACACACACAACCCCCCCCCACCCCAAGACTGGATGTGGTGGGCCACACACTTTGAAGCACCTTGTCTACTTCTTCAGGCTTCACCAACTAGAAGCCACCCATCCAACCAGGACCAGATCAGGCAGACATCCTGAGTTTGACCCAGTCCAACTGTAGTGTCTAGGTTTTGACAAATGCAAGCAATTTTATTTGCAAAATGCATTGCAAAGGAATCACAGTGGAATTGTAGTTTTTCTAAGTCAACTTCATCTGGAGTCCTTCACAACTGGAAAAGCATTGTTAGACATAATCGTGCAAACACAATAGTGGCAGAAAGGTGAGCTTGGTGGCAGAAAAGTGAGCTCACTTCACTGCCATCACCACCAGAGTGGCTCAATGTACTCTCACCTGTGTTCAGTCACATTCACTTTGAATTTTTCGCCACTTGTGCTCTAACCATCAGCCAAAGCTCCTCAGTAAACTAAAGGATATTCCAGGCTCCATGCAAGAAGAGAGGGTGCTCAGTGGGAATCATGTCTACAGCCAACCTTGCTGACTGGAAAAATCTCCAAGTGATATCAGGATCTCCAAGTGATATCAGGAACCCCCCTGGATCTATGAGTCTCCTGGGATGGACCATTCTCATTGTCCCCCACCCTTGCAAAGGTAACACTCCTGTTGTAATTAAATTGTTTATTGGAAACTAGCTCAGGAGTTGTTTTTCTTTTTAAGAGCATGGCAATTAAATATTTCAAATGAATTAGTGCATAGATAATTTTTTAGCCTTGCAGGATTCTGATTTGACTGGAACTGGAGAGACCTAGGTTCAAATTTCTTCTCAGTCATAAAGTTTGTGAGCAGTGCAGTCTTTGGCAGAGCTGCTTCAGTCTAAGGTCTTGGCTTCATTGGGCTTAGAGCAGAGTAACTCTGTAGCACTGTAGGTGACCTTCAGTTAGGTGCCATCGAGACATTACGAAGTCCTTGTGATCTTTGGGAATGAACAACACAAAGACTTTGAATCACACATTCAACGGGCCTTCTGGGCCTCCCAGATGCACACTGGCTCTTTTCTGTTTGCAACTACAGCACACAGAAGAGGCTATAGCCACTCCCCCCCAGCATTAATTTCATGTCCTCAAACTGCCTGATGCAGCCATTATTGGCTCTGCTACAAATATCACATTACTTAAGATGGCTCATGTAAGCTTCACAGTGGAGCCAATGGCAGCTCCATAGGGCGGGGTCTGTTGATGCAAAAAACAGCAAAGGGGGAAGCTACACCCACCTCTCCATGCATGCTACTGTCACAAACCGGAAAGAGCATTGGCAGCTCAAGACTCCCATTGATCACTTGATGCAAAGTCCTGGTGTTGTTCTGTTCCCCAACAAATACAAGGCCTTTGTATGGTGTAGATGAACCCTCAGTTTCTCTCACCCCACTTAACCCACCTCACAACATTGTGGTTAAGAATGGGGTGAATTGCCCTGCACTCTGAGAGATCTTCTGCATGTTCACAAGATGTCTCAATTAACAGGTATGGGGAGATGGCTAACACAATCTTCATAATAGGAGCCATAGTTACAATCAAATTCTAAATAATTCATTGAAAAAGAGCTACCTCTTTGGATTTTCGGTGCCAGTCTTTGTTTTCACTCCCACTTCTGTCTTTGATCTCCTCCTCTGTGATTCCAGCTTGGTTGGTATAAGTGATAGCCCGCCAGTCTCTAGGAGAGTTAGAAATACTCGCTATCTTGGATTCGGTGGCACTGTTTTCCTCTGTAAGTGATCTAGAGGACCTCCTAGTGAACAAGCTTTTTTTTAAGGCTTTGACCCGAAGGCTTTCACTATTGCTGCCACTGGCATCTGAGCAGCACCAATCTGGATTGTTGTCCAATTTACCCCCATGTGAAGAATTATTACATGAAAACATCCTTGGGGAGGTACTTTCCTCTGACTGAACTTCACTCGTTAGAGAATTAAGATCAAGCTGGATGCTGACTTTCTCTGGCTGCTGGATCTTTTGATCCAATTTGTTCAGCTTCCCCAAGACTTGGGAAATTTCATCCCTGACACTTGAGAGAGACTCCAGTTTCTTTTCTATTTCCCCAATCCTCAGTACAAGCTTGCAGACACTGGTTTTCAGTTCATCATCTGCTGCAGTGCTGATCTCCAACTGAGACACCTTGTTCAACTTGTTACTGGAATTCCCACTGGAAATTTTCACTAAGTGGTGTTCAGGGGAGCTTTCACAGTCAGATTTTTGTATCTGTGAGAGGGAGCCGGTGCTGTTGTAGCAAGAGGACTGCATCACCCCAGAAGACCCACAGACACTCATGTCATCCAGAAACCTGAAAATGTCACTGATGTCATCACTCACAATTTCAGAGTCATCATCCGATTGCTTGAGAGAATGTCGCTCACAATGTTTGTTATGAGTTGAGTTACATTTTTTGTGCTCCAACCCATTTTGGTCTGTCTGCGTTCCAACACTGCTAGTTTTGTCACTGCTGAGAAGTTGGACGGAAGTGCAGTTAATGTTTTTGTCTTTAAATTTTTTTACAGGTTCATGCTGCTCCATTTCTAAAATGGAGGGGATGTCTTTGGGTTTATGTCCGTTTGGTTTCACAGCATAGTTGGACTGCAACATTGGCTGTTGATCCTTTGGGCTGAGATAAGTTTGGTGCCTCTCAGTGGCTGCAAAATTGGAAGGTCTGCTATTTGAACCTTGGTATCGGGGTTTCTCTTCTGATGGTTTCCTGTTCAAAAAGGATCTTTCAAAATCAGGGACTTCTTCAGTATTCAGACTCCAGCTTTTTGCTGGCCATGGGGTTTGTTTGTTTGGTTTTCCTAACCACCTTTTAGTATCTTGTGATCCAAGGAAAGTTGTTGGTCCAAAATAAGTAGATGCTTGGAGGTCATCTAAACTTTCATGTTTGACTCGTCTTTTGTCTGGTACAGGGGAATAAATTGAGTTCAAATACTGGCTGCTGTATGGCATTTCAAAACTGTGATTGAAGAATGCCTGCTTGGAAGTCTCCTTCCTGCTTGGAGGTTCTAGAAGTTCCTCTTCTGTTTTGCTTGTGGGTGATACCAAGTTTGGAGAAATAGTTAAGAGATTATGGAAGTCTTCCTTGAATATGTTTCTTTTCTGCATGCATGACTGCATCACAAAGGGTTCATCATTTGAAATGAATGTTTCCTTGATGCTTGCACTGATAGGCAATGAGTCCTGGTCTGAGATAGATTCTGTCTCAATGTTCATGGGGAAATATGTGCTCTGCATTTCACAGGGGGGAGAGCTGGTGATATTATATGATGCTAGGGCTTGTAACCGATCTAGTGATGCTGCTCGGCCTTTCATTTCCTTATTGACCCCAAGCAAAAAATTAGATTCTGATGTGGGTACAAATTGTGGGCAGTCTTTGCAATCCCCTTTCCTACATTTGGAAGACCTCCTGCCTGAGTACCCTCTGCTAAATTCTCTGTCTCTCAATTCACAGTTAGGCACACAGTCCACCACATTACAGACTTCCGAGTCAGACCGGCAGGACTCTACTGATTCTTTCTTCCTCACCTTCTCTCGGGCCACGGGAAGTTTTTCCTTGGCCACACCCCCGTTCATCTGGATGAGGTTGAAAATTGTCACGATATCTGCTGCAACCATGATCTTTTTTGATTGCTGGTTGTTTACGGTGCATCTCATCTTGTCTTTGAACAAAGTGGCAGGGAAATTAGGATCCAGACAGGCAGTGTAGAACAGCACACTCCTCAGTTTGGCCAGCTGGGACAAATCGAACCTTGCACACAATGATTTGCAGAGATCCTGATAGGAAACTGTGTTTTGTTTGGTATCGAGTTCCTCCAAAATATTTATCAGGAACAGTGAAGAGTCTTGATTAGTCTCCATGGCTGATGAACATCAATTTTTGTAGTTCATCCAGAATGTTTCACTCTAGATATAATTCAATATAGAACAGAAAACAGAGAAGTTTATCATAAGCTACCTAAAATATGTGAACTTATGTATTTCTTAAATACATCAACGTAAATATCAGTGGGGAGGGGCAAGGCAGACTCCACATTTTGCATTCAGAAGGTCCCTACTTCACTTCCCAGCATTTCTGGTTAAGAAAGGTCAAGTGTTGGGAAAGGACTGAGATCTTGGACAGCTACTGCCAGCCCAAGTAAACAATACTGAGCAAGATTAACTTATGGCCTGACTTGGTATAAGGCACCAAGTTCTATTCCAGCCCTAATGTTTTCTCATTGTCACACTAGAACGCTACCAAGAAACAAAAGCTGAAGCATTAGTCCAACCCCTGGGTTAATAGGGAGATGCCGGGTTCTACTTAGCCCAGAAATGATAGGAGAATTAGTTGGAGCAGGGGAAAGAGTTTTCTCTGAGGGAATAAACAACAAAAGGATATTCAAAAAAGCCTGGCACAGATAACTCCTATCACAGATAATCTCCTGATATTTTCTTTTGTGATTTCCTAGATTTTATCTATTACCATAACAGTTCCTTGTCTTGAATGCCTGAAAATCCTTATTTCATTGACCTTTCTTCCACAACAAACTAGTTGAATAGGCTACTATAAAATGGTGCGGAAGTCAAAAGGCAGGATGCCCCAAATGTCCCAAATTCTTGCATAAATCCTATTGAACTTCACCCAGTATAACATAGTACTGAGAGATTAAAATAAAACTTTATCAACCTACACAACTTTTGGGATGTTCTCATTAAATCTGTGCCAAATTATCACTGCACAAAAACGTTCAGGACAAAAGGTGGAATTTCCAGGGGACAAGCATAATGAAACTTTTTGCTTACTTTTTCACCAAGTTCATCCTGCTTCTTTCTCCAAGTTGAGGATATGGCATCTTTAAATTAAAAAGGGCTTCTTTCTGAGGTTATCCCAGCTAAGCAGGGATCATAAATAAGCAGTGATGAAAGTATGTCATCAGATCTCATTACCTGATGATGCCATCAAGCCAAATGAAAGCAAGGGCAGGAAACAGCACCCTCACTCTGAATAGGTTTCCTGACTATAATATTACAGAACTGTCAGGAAGGACATTGCAATGTCCAACCATAGTCAGGGAAAGGTTTCCTACCCTTCCGCTAACAGCTGCCCATCTTCACCCCATTTTACAGGGTGCCTCCTGAGCAATTTCTGAAATGGGACATACATTTTATGGAGCAAAGGTAGTTTTTGTGTGTGTACCTTTACCTAAAATATACTCCTGCTCCCCCCCCCACTCAGTCCTAATTTTGTAAGCTTTCAGTATTGTGTTGTTGAGAACTGAAAGTATGCTGAAGCCCATGAAAAACTGTACCACATAATTCTACAGCATTAATATTTATTTCATTTATCTATTTATTTCACTTAATCTCAAGCAATGGATATGGCTTCCATACAGTTCCCAAGGCATCTCTCCCATCTTTGTGGCTTACAAGGCAAGTCCTCCTCATCAGTCTTTAAACCGTGAGATTTGCCTTTAGACTTGCTTGGGATCCCTTGTAGCTTGGCTGCCAGTGAGGTCTAAGCAACTGATTTAAGGTAGTTTGCTAGAGTGGAGTTTGAGATCGACAACTCTTTGCTAAGAAATGACTCTTGGTTCCATCAGCCCCTCACAAACCAAACTTCACAACCCACACTACAATATTCACTGACAATTGGTGAGCATGTAAGAGTCTTCAGTTAACCCACTGGTCCATTGTCTATTCCAATCGGCACCAGATTTTCAAGCTTTCAGGCAGAGGTCTAGCACAGGCATACAACCTCAGATTGTTTGACTGGGGAAGCAAGGAACTGATCCTGGGATACTATGCAAACACTGTTGCTGTTAACCATTCAGTCCTGTTCAACTCTTAGCAATTTTATGGGCCAGGTCTCTCCATGTTTTCCAATCTTGTACTGTTTCTTTCAGTCGTTCCATGCTCACCCTGGTGTCAACTTTTATGGTGTCTAAACCACCATGTTCTTTGCAAACACTACCATCCCAGAGCAGCAAAATAAACAGCTACAGATGCCTCAGACTTGGGGTAGGGGCTATGGCTCAGTGATAGAGCGCCAACTTTTCAAATCCTTGGCATCTCCAGTTAAGAGGATCAGGTAGCAAGTGATGTGAAAGACCTCTACTGGGAGTGCTGCTGTGAGACAGTAGACCTTGAGAGACTCATAAGACAGCTTCATACATGTATGTCTGTTCAAATGATCCCCCCCCCCAAGAAGATTCAAGAGGCTCCAAATGAGGCTGCTAGTACTGAGCTGATCCTTACGCCCAAGTAATATATATGCAAAAGATGTTACCTCCTCATCATTTGCACAGGAATTGCTTTTTTTTAAAAAAAAAATCTATCTGAGAATTAAAGGCTATTCTACCTAAAGCTCCTTGAGAACTCAATAGTTTACATCACAGAAACCCACGGGGCAATGAAAAATCTCTTTTCTGTTTCACACCAGCCTCCCGAAGAGTCATGGTGCAGGAGTTACTCCAGTCTAACCCTGCTGATCTGAGTAGCATAGGATTTCATTGTCCATCTAGTCCACTGGGACAGAGCCGTCTTATTGGCATGTAAACACACATACAGTTAACACCTAAATTTTCTGGATGAGATACAAGGTTACCACAGATCAGTCCTTTTGTGACCTCTACCAAGTGAATTTTGAACATCCTATATCGCCTGTGTCATGGCGGGGAAAACAAAGCCTGAGCCCTGCATTTCAACTGATAAAAGGAAAGGGTGCATTAATCATCATATCTTCCCTTCCCTGCACCACAGCTCTGCTAGACAGAGTGATTATTTTGCTGATCTAGCCCCTCTCATAGAGAACACCTGCAGAATCTCTAAAATTACACCCTCCAAAATTAAAAGATGCCTGCTCCTTGAGAGGAAAGTGATGGTGAACCTAAACAGCATGATACAAAGTAGAGACATCACCCTGACAACAAAAGTCCGCATGGTCAAAGCAATGGTATTCCCAGTAGTCATGTATGGCTGCGAGAGTTGGACTATAAGGAAGGCCGAGCACCGAAGAATAGATTCTTTTGAACTATGGTGCTGGAGAAGACTCTTGAGAGTCCCTTGGACTGCAAGAAGATCAAATCAGTCAATCCTAAAAGAAATCAACCCTGACTGTTCCCTGGAAGGCCAGATAATGAAACTGAAGCTCAAATACTTTGGCCACCAAATGAGAAGGAAGCACTCACTGGAGAAGACCCTGATGCTGGGAAAGATTGAAGGTCAAAGAAGACGGGGACGGCAAAGGATGAGATGGTTAGACAGTGTCATAGATGCAACATGAAATTGAGCCAACTTCAGAGGACAGCGGAAAACAGGAAGGCCTGGCGTGATCTGGTCCATGGGGGCGCAAAGAGTCGGAATCGACTGTGCGACTGAACAACAACAAAAAATAAATAAATTGTGCCACTACAGAAAATGTATGAAAGGGCCAGCCTGCTTGTTATTGTTATTGTAATTGTTAATAATGTTAATAATGGCTTGTAATTGTTATTGTAATTGTTATTCAATCACTGATGAACTGACTGTGGTCCAAGCAAAGAATGTCACAGTGCAGGTAGCAGCTCACCTTGTTTCTTTATAGTGTAATTCGTTAGCCAGATATCGACTTGGGAAGGTGCAGGCTTCCTGAATTATTTATACATTATTTCTTAGTGCATTGCTCTTGGTGATGAAGATAAGGACAAATCTAAATGCAGAGCAAAACATCTCATACCTTTTATACTTGCAGATGCCAGCAAACAGACTTTAGAATTATTGCCTACTAGGAAAAAGGCCCATTGTGGAAATAAATACAATGAGCTCTAGAAAGAGTCTCTGGGTGGGTGCCCCAGCCTTGGACACTCAGTGTCAATTTGCTGTGGCGACCTCAGCAGGGCATAATGACATTGAGTTCACCATTTTCCCCAGAGGAACTGATCTCTGCTACCCTAAAGAACAGTTGTAATTTTGAGTGATCTCCAGCCCTCACCTGGAGGTTGGCAACGATGGTTCCCCAGAAGGGAATAGTTGGTTTGGAGGGTGGGATCTATGGCTTTGTACCTGTCCGAGGTCCCATGCCTCCTGAAACCTCACCCTCTCCAGGCTCCATCCCTCACATCTCCAGGAATTTCCCACCAGGAGTTGGCAACCCTATCTCCTTCCCAGCCAATCATCAACCTACCTTTATTTCCCCCTCACTCTTCAGCTTTCCACCCCCCACACACCTGCAGCCTCTCCCGTGCTCTGAAGCCCTGACTGCTACGTCACATTGGCTGTCATATGCGGGCCACCTCAGCATCATATAAGGATACAGAGCTCACTATTTTCTCCAGGGGAACTGATCTCTGCCATCTGGAAAGCAGTTGTAATTCTGAGTGATCGCCAGCCCTCACCTGGAGATTGGACACATTTTACCTCAAAAGAGCAAACTGTTTAGAATGTTAGAGGCAAAAGCCAATCAAGTCGCATATGCAAACGACCTCTGTGTTCTGAGGCAAAGGCCAATGAGGCTGCATATGCAAATAACCTCTGTGTTCTGACTGGCTATGGGGGGGAGGGGAACAGCAAAATGTTTAGAATGTTGGAGGCAGGACTCAGGCAAAGCAGCCAGTGGATAGGGAGACCCTCTGACAGATCAGAGAGCGAACTGATTTTGGAGCGTGTGGAATTTATAAGGGAGATTACCTCACTTTATGCCCTGACCTGGATAGCCTATCCTAGCTTGATTTTGTCAGATTTCAGAAGCTCAGAAGTATTTGGGTGGGAGAACACCAAGGAAGCCTAGGGTTGCTATGCAAAGGCAGACAATGGCAAACTACCTTTGTTCACCTTTTGGGAAACCTTCAGGAGAACCATAAGTTGGCTGCAACTTGATAGCACTTTTCACCACAATTTTGCTT